ATATATATATATATATATATATATATATATATATATATATAATTTTTTTGTCTTTTAGCGGAGAAAGAAGCTGATAATGTAATCAAAGAATTTCTAAGAAACAGTGAGGAAGAAAGGCAAAGTCAAGCTGAACTAGTGGAGCGAGAAAAGCAGGAAGAAATGCAACTATTAAGTTCTTGTCATTCGGAACAGTTCATGCTACGTACGAAGGATACTCTAGGTAAGAATTGAGGATAAAGAAAGCAAAGTCGAAGTTATCCATACAATTGTTTTGCAGTTGCAATGGAAAAATTATTGGAAGAGGAAATGTGCAAGGCAAGAAAATTGGAAGAACATACCAAATATAGAGATTATACCACACAATCTCTGCTCACGCTGTCAGTAACAATCATAAATTTGCTTTTTTTATGTTTGTTTATCATGAATATATATAATCTATATTACGTGACTATTATATAAAAAGAATCAAGAAGAATAAAATCAAGATTCGAATTCAGGGAGGTGAGGAACAACGATCATTTGGCACAGATAGTGCATGATCAAGAGAAGAGCAGGCAAGATCTTATCGATAGCTTACGACAAGACGAAGTTCTGCAAAAAGCAGCAGTTGCCGCGTTGTTGGAACGCAGCGATGCACGTTCCTGGAGTATTGTTCAACAAGTGAATCTGGTACAGTCGCAATTGGTTGCACTTACTAACATCGAACTAGAGAAGAGGAAATTGGAAATCAACCAACAGCTTGTAAGTACAATTTCTCTCTCTCTCTTTCTTCTCTCTCTCTCTCTCTCTCTCTCTCTCTCTCTCTCTCCTATCATTAAATGAAAATTTAAAAAATATTTTGAGATTGTAGCTTATAGAATTATATAAATGATAGTAAAAATCGCTAGATTTTTTTAATTCTTGGAAATTAAATATATTTATCAAATTCTTCTTAAATGTTAAAAATGTTATATCCTTAAATATAATAAAATATAGATACATATGGATATACATATTATTTCTAAAATTTATACATATTTTTAGAATGAAATCGCTGATAGACGCGTGGCTTTAACTGCTATTCTAATAGATTTATTGGAACAGCAAAAAAATAGGAGAGACCAACTACTGGAGACAATCAATACAATAGAACAACAGAGATGCATTTCTGTAATTATATCTTTCGTTTTTCTTTAAATTTTCTTTAATTTTGCACTCTTTTTGTAAAATAAATAAATGTTAAGAATAAATATAATAGTATAAATTTTTAATGAAAAAACAAAATATATAGCAAAATAATGAAACAAAATGATAAAAACATATTGACAGAATGCAAGACGTGGTAGCTTGTTTTGGCTGATGCAATATCAATCTCTCATGGAAGCTCGACCACAGGGATTACTAGAAATGTTGGAACCTATGTTAGTTCGACATGTAGCGATAGCAGGAGCTTTGCATTGCCTTCCATTCTTGGCCACATTGCCATCTTTGTTACCAGACATCAGTGATGAACAGTTAAAAAATGTATACAAGTATTTTCGTTATCAAATTTTGATCTAAAATAATATAAATTTTAAATTTGAGTAAATTTAAGTCTGAGAAAAATTTATGGTAATTAGATTGTCTATTTACAAACAATAAATATTAATAGACAAAAGATGTGTAAATTTTAATTACTGAAACTATAAATATATTAGTTATAATGTCACTTTTCATTTGGCAGATTGGCATAAGTTGCGAAAACGATCGCGCTGCCATAATGTTGGCGGTAGAGAATTATTTGGCAGAAATGAAATTGAATGAATCCAGATCACCAGTAACAGCTTCCGCACCTCCCGAAGAAGAAGCATCAACTAGCGATCAAAACTATAGTTCTATTCAGAATGTCAATATGATCGAATGTGTGATCTGTCTCGATTTGCAAGTAAGTATAATTTTATGCACTATCAATGAAATTATTTTGTTTCTAATATTTCTTGTCCTTCTTTTGCAGTGTGAAGTAATTTTTCTACCTTGTGGACATTTTTGTTGTTGTTCCACTTGTGCGGATAAAGTTCCTGCAGAATGTCCGATGTGTAGGAGTTCAATAGAACGCAGAGTTCGAGTTATGCAGCCTTAAATTCGCGAAATTCTGTTTTTTTGGCTTTTTCGCGAATAACACTTGATGCTTCTCAAAGGTGTCAGAACGCGCTATTTTTCCTGGTCTGTGATTACTCAACAAACTTCCATAATAGTGGAAAGTATAACGCACACAAGTTATATTTACCGCTGATACTCGTAACTATCGACGAAAAAATATACGTCTATATATAGTGACATACAAAATTGTTCAAATACATTTGATCAATTTCGTGAATAACTAGGTTTTTTACTATTAAATCTAACCGTTTTTCATTAGGAATTCTTTCATCAGTTCGATATCGATATAGTAGTAGTAAAATAGTAAACAGCATTCCATGAATACAGTAATTTAATTTTTTCATATACACTCTGATTATTTAAACAATAACAAATCAATTATTCTCTAGAGATATATTCTTAATTTAATCAAAAATTTCGTTCGTGTCTTTTCTTATTTTTTTTTATTAATATTACTAAAAGTGAAAAAAAGACAAACAAATATTTTGATCCATTTAATATATCAAAAGATATATTAAAGACATATTAGAAATCAAAAGACATATTAGAATACAGAGAATATATTTATCGCATAAATTTTTAAGTTTTATCATTATAAATCTACATTATACATCATGTGATACTGGAATGCTGGAATAAGAAAACTGCAAATATGAAGTTAAATTATTTAAAAGTAGTTTTAATCACACATAATAAATATATATAAACATAAATATAATATATATGAAATATGATACGCAATCGGTTTTAAATAGAGTTCAAATTATAATTAGTGATACCAAAGAGAAATTAAAATGAAATGCTGAAATATTCAGAGGAAACTTAGAAAAAATTGGATATATTTTAATCTTAATATCTATATGCTATACAAAATATAACTGTTGTAAATCAATTGCGAACATATCTTCATAGATTGAGATAAAATACATGAAAATGTATAGGCAAAAAATATATCTGAAATATAAAATCTATTGGTAATTAAATGCAAAAAATGGGAAAAAATTAATAAAAGTTTTTATAAAAGATAATTTTTATAATAAAATTTTGATAATCATTTCTACACAATTTGAATTTTACTGTTTTGTGTGAATATTAGCACTGTCACTTAATAAAAAAGACTCCTATTAAATATTAATAAATTTTATTAATATAATAAAACTCTCATTTTTATGCAAGTTAATCTATTCTCTAACTTTTAAATAAATGATCCGAGTCTCTTCTTTTCTGTGTGAGAAATGCATGCCAAATTATTTATAATGCTATAAATATTTTAAAAATTATTAAGAAATAATACCGTTTTAAAAATATATTCTATGTAAATTATTACATAAATGCAAGAAATGCAAATAAAAATTAATCTTTTTTTAAATTTGTCTTCTGAATGCATGTTTTTTTTATTATTATTCATATTCCTGAGCACTTCATTTCCATTATAAATATTTTAAATTATTATTATAGGTAAACTATATTTATATTTACTTAACACAATATGTTGACACACTAAATTTTTAAAAATCTACAGCTTCTCTTGCCACTTCTTCATCTTCACCATTTACATCATCATCATCCTTTTTTTGTTGTTTTTTTTTTGATGTTGCATCTTTCTTCTCTTTTTGAGCCTTTCTAAAGTTCTCTAGAGATTCTTGTAACGGATCAATGAACTGATCAAACTCGATGTCTACCATCGCTTGCATCACATCCTGTCCACTGATAGTCTTGCGGTTGCCTTTCTTGGCTACTATATTGGCAGATGATGTGAGATAAAGTATGAAAATAGACGCAGCTTTCGCCACTGCTATTCTGGCATCTTTTCCAACCGTCACTCCGTCTGGTAAAGCTTCCTTGATAATTCTGGTCACTACTGCGTTGGGTAGGTTTAAATCTTCTAATCGTTCAGCCATCTAATTATCATTTACATTTTTATTTTTATATATAAAGAATTTTTATATTTTTATAAATAAAAAGTATATATAAAGTATTATTGGATCTCTATAATACTTGTGAGATGCATTACAAAGATAAATTTAAAACATAATTAACAATCTTCCCTAAATAATAAAAATTTAAATTATTAAATTTATCTTATAGGTTATTTTTTATGTAAGCAAAATAATTTGTTGAAGTACATAGATTGTAAAGATCAAATCATAAGATAATGCAAAAATTATAAGAAATAACAAAAATTGTAAAAAAAAAATTATTACCTTCTGAAAACGTACTAAAACTTATAAGTCTCAAACGAATTGAGGTTAGGTCTTTCCCGCCAGTTAGTTTATGACGATAATCGCACTTGCACAAAAAACAAATTTCCTCGCTGTATCTAAACGCGGCGGAAATCAGTAACAAGATTAAATCTCATAAAATCAGACGTAAATTTATGACATACCGACGAACTACAGCAATTAACATTTTTATCAAGAGCGAACGTTCGAAATTCAAACAAATAAAAACAAGCCGTGATCCGAGGGAATCAAGATGGTGTAAAATGGTTACGGGCTATTTCGACGAAGCAAACTCTTTATTGTTTATAACAACCGAAGCTGATTGGTTAAGTCTAGGGGATTAAATCTTGTAGAACAATGACGTTTTACAGCTATCGGTGCAATCCAAATGGCTGTCAAACGCGACGGAGTAGCAAGGCGAATTAGGTTAGGTTAGTTAAGTTAGGTTAGCTTGAGTCACCGAACCGCTGTCGATAATCGCTGGTACGCTTCGCAATCTGAAGAACGTCGTTTGGATGAACGGCAAACATAAAGATTAGTTTCGGCGTCTGTATGCGGATACGGTTTCTTGGCGAGAGACAAGCAATTTTCGGGACTGAGGTGCAATTCTGGACATCAAACTGACAGTTCTGTCGCCGTCGACAAAAAGAAAACGAAGACACCATTCGAAGGAAAATGTCAAAGATCGAAGAAGCGAACGAGCATATACGCCAGGCTGAAAAAGCGTATGCACTTTTCTTCACTTTTTTTCTCTCCCAGATATTTTCATCTCGCTTTTCTTTTGATATTTTTTCGGATTGGATGTTCAAGATGTTCCTCTTGTTAGATTTTATATTATTAATGTAAATTTAGTATAATGATTCATTAATGATTAACAAGATGAATCCATTGCAAATTGATTTTACACCCATTCCGTTTTATCACGATTTCATATATGATCCAAAATTGTATATTGTTAATGTTATATTTGAATATAATCTTTGTTTTTCTTTTTTTGAATATAATCTTTGTTTTCTTTTTTAGTTTGAAACCTACTTTCTTAAAGTGGCGACCTGATTATGAGGTAGCGGCTGACGAATATTCACATGCTGGTAAGAAAGTGTAATTGCAATTAAAAAATAATAGAATAAAAATTAGAAAATCAGATATTTTTTATCAGATTTGGAAAAAATAATTGATGCACAAATATATTAAGTATAATATTCATTTATATTCAATCTTTAAAATATGAAATTATATAAGAAAATTAAATAAAAAATTAATTATTTGAAAATATATATAATAAAGAAATTAACTATTTAAAACTTTGCATGGATTTTATAATTAAATTGTACATTTTTATTTTTAGCAACATGCTTTCGAGTAGCCAAGTCATATGTACAATGTAAAGATTGCTTAGTGAAAGCAGCTGACTGCTACAAACAAACCAAAGCGTATCCTTTGATATAACAGAAAAATTAAAAATGATAATTTCAATTTTTTATTGAGATGTGCAAATATATACATACGTATATATATATATATATATATATATTAATTTTTAGATTCATAAAAAAGATTTAATTATTACATATTTTCGTTTTATTGTTATTTTAATGAATTATTTCAATGAAGATGCGAATAAATTTTCTATCATATATACTTATTTAATTAATTAATTAAAGTTCTTGTTGAACCATAATAATTTCACGTCTTATATATTTTCTTTAATTCTGCAATTAACGCGAAATAGATGGTTTCATGCGGCAAAGTATGTATCACATGTATATATAGATTTTTATCATGCGATATATTACAATATTATAAAAATGTATCATTTTTCAGGAGTGTTGAGCAAGCTCTGCTTATCTCTAAGGAAATGGGGGATCTGACTGAGGTATCAAAGCTAGCTCACAGGGCATGTAGTCTTTTTCAGCAGCATGGTTCTCCCGAATCAGGAGTACACTCTCTCGACAAGGCAGCTAAAATGTTGGAAGCTACACAGCCTCAGCAAGCTCTGGAGCTGTACAGACGCGCAGCTGATATAATTACGGTAAGTCCTGTCATTTTGTTACCAATAAAAATAAAAATTATAGAAGACTTAACTCTATGAAGAAAAAAAAAGATTGTATGAGATTCAATTATACAGATATAAAAACTCAGAGAACTTTAAGAGTTTTAAGAACTTTGAAAATGTTATGAATCAAATAATTATAAATAATTATATATAAAAAATCTAAAATTATAAAGATTTGAAAGAAAATATATCTGCAGGGTGAGGATAATCCGCGACACGCAGCGGAATACATGAGCAAAATCGCGAGATTATTGGTGAAGCTGCAAATGTATGATGAAGCGGCAGATGCGATACGTCGCGAGATTGGGATGTATCAGGATGTCAAGCTTTGGCAATCAGTTGGAAAACTCACTGTGGCATTAGTTTTGGTACAATTAGCACGAGGTGATCAAGTTGCGGCCGAGAAAGCTTTCAAAGAATGGGGAAACTTCTGCGAAGCTCCCGAAGTATGTGAAAAAAATAATCAACTTTCACAACAGCAAAATAAAAATAAAAAGAAAAATATTAATAAAATTTGATTAATATTTCTTTAGAAAATATTTCATAATCGGAAAGTTGATGATTCCTTGATGTTAAGACATGGAAAAATTCATATTAATTAGTAACTTTCTAATGTTTGCAGGTCCAAACATTGGAGATGCTGCTGCAAGCATATGATAATGAGGATGCGGATGCAGCTCGCGCAGCCCTTAACAGTCCCTTTATCAAGCACATGGATGTAGAATATTCCAAGTTAGCGCGAGGTTTGCCTTTACCGCAACAGGAATATGCTATTCCACCTGCTGGAATAAGAGCCAATGCTGCGGAATCTTATGTTTCTCCCAATGCGTCCAAAGTCGCCGGACAGGCTACTGTTGAAGCAGAAGTTAATCACGTGAGTCTCATCGCGTTTTATTATTATTTCAGCAATGTATATTTTATTTAGATATATAACAATTGGTTGCGTATTGATTTTCTAGACAAAAAATGAAATTAGCGAAACTAATCAATCAACAGAAAAGAAGTCAGAAGTTGCATCGCCGCCGCCGACACAAAAACAAGAGGAAGAGGATGACTATGAGGGAGGCCTATGCTAATCGTCTTTACATGTACAAAAAAAAATCTTTTATTGCTTATAAATTGTTAATTACATAACGCTTGCATGTATATTTGAGCGTTTCATCGAAAGCACATCGTTCGCTTTGAGAAAGTTTATCTTTCAGCTAACTCTTAAAGGAAATTTAACACCCAGAATTATACATTAGAATTATACATGAAAGGGGATAACAATCTTTCTTTTTTATATTTAATATTTTTATTAATTTCAAAATGTTAGTTTATAATTTATATATTTAGTAATCTTTTTTTTTTCTATAGAATTTTTGTAAGTTCCAAGAGACTTAATATATAAACAATTATAAAATGTTATATATGGAGAAAATATATTTTTGCGGAAAAGACTTCATAGTGTGCTGCAGGGATGGAACGCTTAATTATTTTCTTTGATTGTGATAGTATATAAAAACATTTTAAATCCATCCTTTATAGATCATATTTAAAATCCTTTTCTTTTTCATATTATCACAATCAAAGGAAATAAATTGTTTAATAGTTTAATTTTCCGATAGGATATCCTGTATATAGTGACGTCACAAACATGAATAGGACGTCTGTTTTATTTTTATTTTTACATGTACGTGTATATATTTATATATATCCCTCCCTCAGCAATCTTCAAATATTCCGATATATTTAATTAATCAGCTAATATTGTATACTTTAATTGAATGATAAGACATTCCTTAACAAAAGCAGAAATATATTTAATATTTAATTTTACAGCACTATCTTCTAGCGAGATCATTATACTGAACTGTTATAATTATGAGAGTTTAAGAGAAAAAAAACCACAAATATTATATCCCAAAACATTAATGTTTTACTTGCAACCTGCAAAATATGTCTAATAAAAGAAATCCTTTGAAAATCAACTTTTGTAAAAGTCAATTATATCGAGTTTCTTTTTGTAATTTGAAATAGATATTTTCAACTTATTCTTTAAGTTATATATAATAATTTTGATACTGTATTTCAATATTATCTTTATAAACTTTCTTTTATTCTTTTCAAAATAAATTTGTTATACATAACCTTTAAATAGGTTATGTTTATGCGCGCGTCTGTTTCTTTCTTAATTCTTTTATTAGTTCTCAGTTTGTTTCAAAGTGAAATAAATAATTAGAAAAACTGAAAGATGTATAGAAAGCACAGTTAAAGAATAAACCATAAATATTGTAAGGAATACTTACCTATTCCTGGAGATAGCTGGATAAGATGCTGGATTTACGCAAAGATACTCATAAACTTGTATGGAAATCGTTTTGGAATGATAGTGAATTCTTTGGAAAATTCACGAAACCACAGAAAATCGAATCACGATAGAAATAATAAATTTAAACTCACGAAATTTTTGACACAAATTTAAACTAGAACGAAAGGCGCGGGAATTCATAAACGCAACTGTAAAATGGTATTTATAATAGGTGAAGTAAGCATTAAGTCGCAAGAAATTTACCAATCACAATCGGAGAATATTTGACTATGATTTATTACCAATTTCTTATAGTTTATTTCATCTATCGTCAGCACTTATAAGCAAGCATATCCATAATATGAAAGTTGAATATGTATCTTTGAAAGTTTCCCATAAAAATGCTCAAATAAAAGTTATATGATAAGTTATTAACTAAGAAAATCATAGAGCTTTTGAAAATACATTATAATCAATCATGTGTCATTGATATTTTTCGTTCAATTGCTCTTATTTAAATTTCAATTATTCATGTAAATAATATTTAAAAATATTATGGCAATAATGAAAATTAATTGTTTACATAAAATATAATTATGTGTATTAAAATAATTAGGTTACATATTATTTATAAACCGATTCTTGTATTAACATTTTTGTCCAAGACACAACGTGTAAACGATTACGTTTCTAAGAAACATAAATCGAGGCATCAGAGTGTAAAAAAAGTGTTTACTTTTAAAACTTTTATTTCACACATTTTGGTATTTTAATTTACTAGAAGCTTCGTTTACATTTCTGTCATCTTCCTTTATACTTTGATTTTTATTTTTTACCAGAGCTATTGTATACGATGCTGCCATTTTTTTGTGCTAATAGATACGGTCAAGGGTTTACTACAAACACTTTGAAGCATTTTTTTACTGGTGTATTAGTAAAATTCTTTGTTTTGATTGGACAATCAAATGCTTCGAAACATTTGTAGTGTTACATTGACCATAACCAATGTTGCATATTGTATGGTACAGTAATTTACTAGATCGGACGCGAGTCAACACGAAAAATAGTAGCATGAATCGCAAGTTTAATTTGCATTAATTTTAATAAAATAAACGTTAATTAAAGGATTTAGATTTTACTTTTTGTTTTACAACAAATTTAAAGTTTCAAATCTCGCTTAAAGCCAAAATATCGTTAGTGCAATTGGATCTAAGCTGTGTCCGCTAGTGTCATCCGCAGCAGTATGAACGCTGTATCAAATTCGCATTGCGAATCAATATCGCGACGACCGCCATTGCAAGCGTCGCGCGGCGTGGCGCGGTATCACTTCGCGATGCGGCGCGCGCGTCGCATAGAATAGAATAAATAGTGGTGCGCGGCGTTGAAACGGAGCAGACGTCACGGCAACGCGGTCGCGGTTAGCGGAGTTGAGATCGCGCTCCCACGACACCTTCTCTCCGTCCGTTCGTCCGCCCGCCCGCCCGTTCGTCTGCTTGCTCGCTTGCTCGCTCGCTCGCTCGCTCTCTCGTCGCAGGCATAGACAGAGACGAGTTGCGCGGGTGCGACTCCGCGAAGCTCAACGAGCGCGCCGTACCTCGGGCTCCGGTCGCGCTCGGAATTTCGTTCCACCGATGAGCGAGCGGCCGAGGCGCGAACGCGCTTCCACCGAGGGTGCCGCGCGGCCGTCGCGGCGAGACAGGCCGCGGCCCAGGCTTTAAATTCAAAGACGGAGCGGATAGAGGAATGACGCTGGAGAATCCGTTCTTTGTCGTCAAAGAGTAAGTGCGCGGCGAGAGCTAGTGCATCGATTTCGCTTGGCGATTTGCGTCGCGGCGTGTTCCGGGAGAAATGAAAAAGAAATAAAAGGGGGTAAATGTGGGGGAAACGGTTTCGAGTGCGCGTAGAGATTCCTCCGTGCGTGTCATCGCCGCACGGTGATTTTTTTCCGACGGACGGGAGGGGGTGAGGGATCGTGCGTGCGTGAGTGAGCGCGCGGAAGAAGAGCGGCTTGCAAACACGCCGATAAAACGGCGAGAGCTTTATCGGTGTGATATTACGGATTACCAGGCCAATTAACGCGATAACAGATTAACCGGGCGTTATCGTTTCTTGTTTTAAGAAATGCCTCTCGCAACGGTGTATTATCTCGGGGTGACATATTGCTCCGACAAGGACAACACTTGGCGTTGTATGAAAGACTGATATACGAATGATGGATCCTTTATAAATGTTGCACGATGTTACGTGTTGACAAATGTAACGTTTGTTGAAAGGAACGTGCCACTAATGGGTTCGTCGTTTTTTTTTTTTTTATTGAAACAGAAAGGCTTATTTTATCTTTCTCTTTTTTTAAATTCTGACACAGCTGACGAAGATATTCTTCGAGGATTTCTTCACTAAATATTTAATAATTATTCGATAAGATTACAATCTTCAGAAGCGAGCGATGAAAATTTTTTGGGAAGTTAAATGAAAAAAATATAATAATGCTACTAGAAATTACATATATCATTAATTTGACTCAATTGAAAAATTATTATGTAATTAATTGATGAGTAATACAATAATAGTAAAAGATATTGCGGGAGAAAATGTTACATAATATATATACGTATATATATATGTATATATACACATATCATTGTGTGTGTATTTATATGTATATTGATATTCAATTTGATAATCTTGTAAAAATTAAAAAAAATTATAATTAAAAGAACAGATCTTAATGTAAGCTATATAAAAATTTAGAAACATGAATCAATTACATATTTGTGTGTGTGTGTGTGTGTGTGTGTGTGTGTGTGTGTGTGATTTTATATGAACATTATACATTTGTACTTTTACATTTACATGTAAATGTATATGTCCTTGATTAATTTAAATTTAAAATTGAATTTACAATTTGAATCAATTCCAGATTAAATGTGAATTTTTAAATTCATAACTCCATATCTTTTCTACCAAAAGTGTCGTTAATGGATCTATGTATGTCTCTATACATATGTGAATTTGTTTAAACATAGGCATTAAATGCTGGCTGGCGGCATCTTAATTGGCTAGGATTATTTCAGCGAGGTGTGCAAGGCGTTGAACAAGAATCGCGGCTTGTACGGACGTTGGAGCGAGCTGCAGAATGTCGCGATCACATCGCCGACCGGTGGTGTCCCGTTGAGCGGCTCGGCCACTGCGATCTCACGTACGGATGAGCTCGATTGGACCACCACTGAGCTGCGAAAAGCACTTCGCTCCATCGAGTGGGATCTCGACGATCTTGAAGACACTATCTATATCCTTTTCCAATCTAGTGGCACGCTAGTGGAAACACTCCAATTTAGTGGCAATCGAATTCGAATTTGATCTGCGTGAACGTAGACACGCACTTAAATTTGGATTAACTTTAAAATCTGTATGCATTTTGTAAACAGAAAATTTGAACATAAATGTTTAAGCGTGAATGCTGAAATTGGCTTTAAATTCTAATTTTTAATTAGAACTTGTATCTCTATGTCATCCTTAATGCGTATGTACGTATCGTTGAGAAAAACCCAACAAAATTCAAGATCGACAACAAAGAATTGACCGTTCAACGGAGCTTCATTGAACAGGCACGAGAAGAAGTTAAGGTAATTAATTTGATAGTTAATTGTTATTGTATATTGTTAATATAATTGATTTATAAAAAGATAAATATTTTCTTAAGATGTTTCTACTATTGAATGAAAACACTGTCGCATATTATAATTAAATTTCTAATATCTACTTTTAATAATTTTTATGTAATGGTTTAATGGTTATTTTGTCTATTATACAAAATAATTGTCATATAATACATATAATATAATTTATTGTGGAATTACTGCAATTATATCTCGCTATATTTACTATTTTGATTCATAGCCACGCAATGCTTCGTCACATATTAACACATATTTCACGAAAGCACCTGCGTTTGCGAGACTAATATTACCCTAATGCTACTCGCTTATTAAACATTTCGCAGATCATGAAGGACAAACTGAACTTAAGCAGAAGCCGAGATCGCGACAGCACGGCCAGACAGGTTTGTGTATATTGCATTTTGCCTGTACATTATATTCTATCGTAACTGTATTTAGCATGTTAACAATAAGAGTATTAAGTTACATATATTGCGACCGGAAAACAATCGATGAAAGTAAGCATCAAATTTAAATAATCGGCATGAAAGAAACAAAAAAGAGATGGCAAAAGAAAATAAAACAAGTCACAGTGAAAAGTCAGAGAAAAAAGAAATAAAAGTGAATCAGGAAATGTATTTTATATAATTTCAGTTTTTTAGAAGAAAAAAAACGATACTCAAACAATCTCTTATCATTAAAGTGATATTTTTTTTATGTACATAGCACATATGTGTTAATATTTACTCTATAGCATTTAATAATGTTGGTTAATATAAAAACACCTTGTACATACATTCAGAATGACTAAAATCTGACTTACCATAGATTAATATTAATTTTAAAAGATTATATTTTAAATTTAAATTTAAATTTTTTGTAGTTTATTTTCTCTCTTCATTACGAATGATGTTCTTTATCTAGTATAGTTTTTTTGCATGCGAAAAACACTCTTCATATCTCAAATAATTGAAATACCACAAATCATAGTCGAAACTTTAATTTGAATTTGAATTTAATTTTGAATTGAGTATGAAATTTTTTATTTGATCTGAATCCCGTTCATAGTTTCAAATATAATTGATTTTTTCTCATCTTTTAAAATAGCAATTAATGTTAAGTTAATTATAGAAATTTTTTTATTTTTCTAAGTTATTGATTTATTCAATCGT